CTTTCAGCTAAGGTAAAGAAGCCATCTTATATTGTGATTCAAGTCAAACAGGAACAATTAGTATCATTTAAAGAACTTGCATTACAAAACTTCAAATGGGGTAAAGTCCCCATCTCTAAGTTGCATGAAGTCATACTTGACTGCGCAGCACCAGGAAAGGTGTACCACAAGCGTAAGTTGGATGATCCTCAAACTTGTTTCGAGGTTCTCCTTAAAAAGCCTGGTAGACGATACAACTGGTTGACATTCAAACCATCGCAAGCTTATGATGGACTCCTGCCTCTAAAGCCAAACCTTGTCAAAGACTTGAAATATTTTCTAGACCATGATTTAATTCCTGAAAATTATCGTGCTTTCTATGAGCATATTACCACTTATGTCCATGGCGTCCAAGTGGCTGAACCTGCAGGCCAAGAAGATGAAAGTGAATTCGCAGAAGAAATCAGAGACAATGAAGAAATACTTCATGCTTTTCTTGATGACCCTGAAAATGAAGACAACCCACAGAAAGAACATGGCAACAATGAAAACCAACAAGACTCTGATGCTGAGAGTTTCAGCAGTGATCAACTTGATTAGCTGTCTACTAGCTTTAACAGTAACTGAATTGTGATTTGTGAAGTGATTTATTACATTTTGACTGAATAATCTTAAAATTGTTTCCTAGTCTTTGTACTTTTCTTCTAATCATTATTTTCTACTATCCTTGTGTTATGCTCACTCTTATTATAATTCTTTGTTGTTCTGAAGATTTTATTATTTAACATAAAGCGTGATCTATATTTCCTAAGATTGATCTCTCTTTCTAGTGTGATGGAACTTTCTAAATGCTGGCTCCATGGCCCATATACTTTTATTTCTTGATACATTACGTTACCATCCGTTGGCAAGTTTCAACAGGAAGCATATCATTATTTTTAAAAAGTTTACGTGCTCTGATATTAGCCAAACATGTAGCTTCATCATTATTAAACATTTAAGGTGCATTCAAATGTCAGATACTGACATAA